TAATAAGAATATATATATTAAATTAATAATCCCCATTGGGACATAAAAAGAAAGAATTCCGCGAAGAAAATTCTCAATAATAAAGGTTTTTGTATTTCCCAATGAACGAAAAACAAAACGATATTGCTGCTTTTACTGACGTTTCGCTATTTAATGCTTATAGCTTTATCAAAGTATTATTAAACCGGAATTTATCAAATCTCAGCATATATATACAAAGAGTTAGGGAGTGAGAAAATAGACTTAGGTCAAGTTAAAGGGACATATTGAAAGTCAAAATAGCAATGAAGATCACTAAACCAAATAACAAAGGTAATAGTACATCTGTTATGATATCAAAATAAAGTTTACTAACTTGATCATCGTTCGGCTGTCAGAGGCCTTTTTTGTTGTCAAGTTGGTCAGATAGACGAACGATGATCAAGTTAGTAAACTTTATTTTGATATCATAGCAGATGTACTATTTTCTATAGTTTTGGTTTGTAAGGATTAGTTATGTTTTACGAGTTGATCACGGACTGATATCAGTTAGAGAACCATTGAAAACCAGGGAGTACTGGACAGCTGCTGTTTCATCCTAGTTTGGGAATCATCGGCAGTACGCACCCACTGGGATTCGAACCCAGAACCTTCCGGTTACAAGGCAAGCTGGTATACCATTCAGCCACTGGGACCCGATTCAATGGCTCATGAATTCTAACTTCTACCAATTCGTGATTTTAGCGCGACCCCAACTATTGTCGTTGGTGGGACATCCATCCACACACGTGACTTCTAATTGGACCTCACTGGTCACGACTTCTCACTAGAACTCCAGGAAGCTCCAACCTGTAGCAAGTCACTAGCGAGCATCAGATGTACTATTACCTTTGTTATTTGGTTTAGTGATCTTCATTGCTATTTTGACTTTCAATATGTCCCTTTAACTTGACCTAAGTCTATTTTCTCACTCCCTAACTCTTTGTTATATATATGCTGAGATTTGATAAATTCCGGTTTAATAATACTTTGATAAAGCTATAAGCATTAAATAGCGAAACGTCAGTAAAAGCAGCAATATCGTTTTGTTTTTCGTTCATTGGGATATACAAAAAACCTTTATTATTATGAATATCATATACCCAATGCCCAATTTATTTTCAAACCGTTAAAAGTGAACTTGGTTTGGACATATATAAGAAAATTCTCTTCTCGAATATTTTATTTTCACATCTGTACAATCGGACATATAATGAATTACAGTGTTTAAGTTTGACAATGAATGGAAATACTAAAGTGCGATGATAATATTGATGTATAGGATTATGAGTCACAATTGATTAGATACATAAATGAATAACTGAAAAAACAGATGTCAACCTAAAGTTCAATAGACGACGTGTGTGAAATAGATGACCAGAAATTAAATGTGCATTCTGAAATAAGAATTTGTAAATATAATAAGGTGGAGACATAAGATGAGTGAAATATTGTCAAAATAGTAGACTAGATAAAATGTTAGAATGTGATAAGATAAAGTGAAATAAAATTAAACAAAAATGGAACATTGGATAAAGAAGGATAACCAATTTTTATGTGAATAACATAATAAGATCAAGACCATGACCATGGTAACGAAAGAGATCGTACAAATTGCTTTTGTACACGAAGTTCTGGCTTAATGTTGTGTTTCTCGACGAACGTCCTATGTGGCTAACTCCACAAGATCAGGTGAACATATAAATGCACATGGAATTGGACAATCGAGGTAACATTTCCCTGACATTAAGGTGCACCAGTGTATGGCTAGAGTAGATTATTCATTAAGTGGCAGCAAATAACATTCTTCTCAATGATCTCATCAGACGATTTTTAAGTATCTCACTCTCAGTGTCACCCTTAAATTCTAAGTTTTAGGTGCAAGACATTTTTAGCTACCTTGTCAATCTCTGTATTTCTTCCACGTAATTTCCTATTGGCCTTTGAGAAGCGGAGTGGATACCCATTCTCTGTGTAGGTTTCTTCTAGTTGTTTGAGTTCTTCATCTACACTATCTTCACTACAAATTCTCCGCACCCATGTTGAGAGAGAACGGATTCGACTCCTTTTTCTGTCTTTGGGGACAAAACTGTGAAAATTGGTCAGTTATCCTGTGCACTTCGATTTTCTGTAAACAGATCTTTTCAAAGACCCATCGCCTCTCATTTTTATACATATATATTATTGTTTATTTGTATACTTTGCGCCTCACCTCTTTGTGGGTTCTCGCTTGAGTAGCGGACTAAAGAAACAGGGTAACTGTTGTAAATGTTGTTGGCATAGACAAGCGATATACATGATTACGTGTCTGTCACCAGCTCGACGTCTCTAATCAATGCAACGTTTTTGCAAAATGTAAAACCCATTTATTGGTATAATCAAAAATTAGCAAATAACATTCTTGCTAACTTCACTTGTGCACGTCATTCTAAATGTATCAGTAAGAGAAATAAAGTCTACACGACAGCAAGAGGGATTAAACTCAGATTCTTAAATGTGCTGTAGGCAGCTGTTTGTGTAAACGAATGACACTGGATAGTAAGTAAAATAGGGCAGCTGTAATAATTAACATGCACAGATTTCTTAGTCTGCTTAGGATATCACAAAATATGGTGTGTTTTTCCTCAGGAAAAGGGTCTGTTATCAAGTCTCTGATCTTCTCCCGTTACGACAGTGAATGCTCCTGTTTCCCATTTTGTTAGCATCTTAATAATGACTTTGTTCAGCCTCTAGCCTAGATACGACCACATGAGACCCACACAGATTCGTATGGCATCCAGCAAGTCAGCATGCTCCACGTTGCCAGATCTTCAAATGTCATATCTGAGTAAAGCATCATCTATATATATATATATTTCATAGTACTGTTTACTTAGTCACGTTTGTACACTGCAAGAAGTCTTATTCAACACAACTCTTTACTAAGTTACTGGTTACTTAACTCAGTTGCGTCTCCTGCTGCATAACAGCTCAGTTTTACAAAACGAAGAACATCTTGTTTGAGTATGACTGCAACACTTTTTATCATAATTGGTGTATATTTAATAGTCAGAAGACTATGGTTAGAACTATGCACTGCAAATTTTCATTTTTCATTCAACTTATTGTGTAATTCCTTCCCGCACATCCGTTTCAAATGTATTTTTCACATGAATTTTCTTTATTCTTATCTTGTTATATCATTCTGTCTCCTCAACATGAATGAATTGCTTGATCCTAATATAATATTCCATAAGCAAAATCTTTAATCAAGCACGCAGTAAAATACCGAGTATTCAGTCAAGATGTTCGACACTCACCTATTGCTATTTATCTGAATTCCTCACAGGGAATTAAAAGTACGTTCTCTTTCTGTTTAATTTTATTGTATTTAGAATATTTTGGCAACTGGATAATACATCTACCATCCAAAATGACTTCACATTAATCCGTAGACACGTCAACAGAAACCGGTCATTTCTCCCCAACGTAATCAGACCTGTGGTCAAAGAGTTTCCAATCTTTTTAAGCCCTACTTCATCTCTTATTAGTCGAATATTAGATTTGCTGTACTCATTTCTGTCCACATTGATTTTTCGAATAATCTGGCATATGCGTGTTTATCTAAAATAGGTTTTTTTTCATGAAAAATGATGCTGACCCTTTTAGGCATTCACCTACTTTGTCTCTGTTCCATTTCAAACCCAAATACTCCTATGAATTTGTAGGGATTTTTGATTTTGTTTCAAGTTTGATTTCGGATTAATATCAGTTAGAGAACCAATGAAAACCAACAGGGAGTAGTAAACCGCTGTTATATACTAGCTTGGGACTCATTGGGAGTACGCACACACGAACAATGACAATGACTTGTGGTTGCACTAACATCACGGACTAGTAGGAGTTAGGGTTCATGAGCTAGTCATGGAGGTGGTTTCCGGTGGCTAAATGGCCCATGAGTTTGCTTTATAATTCGTTACAGGATTTCATCATTAGCTGACATTGGTTAGAGAACCATTGGAAAACCTGGGAGTAGTGGACAGCTCTTTCGTCCCGGTTTGGGACTCCTCATCAGCACGCACCTACCGGGGCTCGAATCCAGGACCTTCTGGTTACAATGCTAGCGAACTCGTAGACCATTAAGCCACTGAGACCCTATCCAATGGAACATGAATTCTAACTTCTGTCAATTTACGACATAGCGCAACCTCTAGCCATGAGCTAGTCATTGAGTTGGGTTCCGGTGGCTAAATGGCCCATGAGCTTGTTTTATAATTGGTAGGTTGCAATTCCAAACTCCGGTGGGTGGGTACTGCTTACGAGTCCCAAACTAGGATGAAACAGCTGTTCAGTACTTCCTGCTGGGTTTCAATGGTTCTCTAACAGATATCAATCCATGGGCAAACTTGAATCAAATAATCTTATATAACCTCCAATTCACTTTACAAATTACAGGCTTCGTAATGAAATCGATGACTATGAACTCTTCAGACAGTCGATAATCCTTTAACAGTCAAATATAGAGTCTTATAGAATACCGAGCACTGACCATAACAACTTATTTTGTTTTTCCAGGTACAACGAGTGTGTTTCTTTTGGTTTTTAGCAAAATATATCCACTAGAGCCAGTATGCAACAAATCTTTGCAATACATATATATGCATAAGTCAATGTCAACCTTCTCATCTAAGTGGTGATATAATCAACAAAAGACAAGAGATAATAAAGACAATTAAAGTTGAAAAATCGATAGTGTATTGATATTCACTGCATTTGCTTACTAATTCTTGTACTTTTCATAAAATTTAAGGACATACTTTGTGCTATTATCTATCAGTGAATACCTTTTAAATAATAAAAAAGTTATTGAATAAAAAATATAATGTCAAATCATAGATCGATTTTAAACTATTCACCAATTATATTGAATCTGTGCCTTACTGATCAAAGTTAGCAAAAGTAGATTCAGATCAAGTTAATCGGCTTATTTTTTTCATTACTAAAGACGATGTCTAATTCTCATCATGAGGAAGTAAACTATCTTCCTGACTATTCTGGACGTCATAATCCTCATCCACAGAGAGTAACACATTTCACAGGCTTTTTAGGCCTACCAGTACCAGTTGTCAATGATCCAGGCTTTTCATCACACGACCGTTACACATCACCTTCAAGAGGCATTACATACAGTTCACTTGAATTGAAACGCACCAATTTTCCTATTGGTTTATCGCCAAGTTATTATACAGATCATTTACTGAATAACTCGTTAAAATTAAGTAAACGAGATTACGCCAACAGCAGCGATTCACTGAGTAGATCAGGAAGATCGAATTCTACTGTTCATCATGTTCCTGTCGGTATCCTTCCACTATCACGGATACGTCGAAGAATTCCTCAGTTGGATACTATAAATGGATTAAAATATTTCACTGGCTTGCAAAACTATTCTGCTCGTGAACGTCCTCCTCCAATTGGTCCGTTGATTGACTCTGATGCGAGTCGATTGAAAGAAGTGAAGCCATCACAAGAATTTTTAAATGAAACCAAACAAATGAGTTTTCTGAACAAACACATATCAGGACGTAAACTGAAGTGGCAAAATGAATTGGGCTTTCTTACAGGGACTATTTTAAGTAAGTTATGCTAAAGTGTGAATGCTTGTTTGGATAATGCATATAGAAGACTTCTGAACATCTTTATCTTTAGCACTGTACTATAACTGATGAATGAAGTACTGTTTTCCACTAGTAAGCTGAATGCGTACCTGTGCCAAGTAAGTCCTACTAACTACCTTCAGGCGGTGGGAGTGTTCTTCACAAATTGAAAGGGCGAATGGGAATGTCAGGTGCTTAAAACCCGCCTGGTAGACATGCTGATCTATGTGAGAGAGCTGAGAAACACTGATTGCAAACTTATGGTGTACAGAGGCTCCAAAATCCAAAAGGACCGAATGAAGTAGGAACCTGTTTCGGCCACCGGAAACCTTGAGAACGCAACTGCTGACGCTGCTCAGCTCACTACTTTGTGGTTGAAACTTCTAGTCAAAGGTTCGTGGAGGGGATGACCCCTTAAGAAAACCACCTGTTTCGATCTCACTGTCCTGACAGTGTCTCAGCCATTTCACGAGCTATGAGACTTCGTGTAGCCAATCTCTTGGTATCTATAATGTACTAAGTCTGTATTTCAACAGGCATAAATAACATGTTAAAGTTTTAGAAATTATCTTGCCCTACAAATGCATTAATATTACTACCTCATATTTAATCTCAGTTAAAGTAAACACTATTAATGAGAACACAGATAAAGCTAATTTAGCTATTGTGTAGGGTAGTTTGTCTCGAAAACCTCTGTCATAGATTTCATTATAATTCTAATACCCCTCTACTGAAATAGCATCACATGCATTGGAAGAGTATTGGCAACAGCAGAATTCATGCCATTGTAAACGCATTCTAAGTTTAAGGAACAAAGTTCACATTATCTCCATTAAAATAAGCCTTGTTGCCTACAGCCAACTTCATCGTAGTACAGCGACACGATCAAATGAGAAATTTCCCTGTCTTTTAAACTCTGATCGACACTGTATTGAATCATTTATTTAGCGTTCTTACCTTTGAAATCAGTGTGAATAAAACTCGACTTTTTATCAACAGTAATTTTACCTGGTGACCTTTAACTTCTCAGCTTATTTACAATATTAATATTATTGTTATTATTAAATTCTTGGGCTACTGACACCTTTTACTCAGCTAGCTTAGAGATAATTTTACTGAGAATGTGTTTATATGGTCTTCTTAGATGATTGGAGGCAATTGACTGGAAGCCTTAAACCTACGTTTTGTGCTTGTTGGCGCCCACCATTCAGCAAAGCGTATCTGCAGTCTTGAAGGAATTCATAGCCCTTCTGGAATTCGAACCCATTTCATCCAGTACTGCTTCTGTAGGACTGTATAGGATACTTTGATTGGACACTACGTAGTACCTAATATTATGCTTCCAGTCCTTTGTTTGGTGCAGATTGAATTCTACCACTCAGGTTTGCAATGCGTACCTTTAAGGTTGCAGACTCACCTTGCTGAGGAGTGCTAACAAGAAGAAAACCTGAGTCCAGAGCTTCCAGACGACTGCCTCCAACCGCCTTAGTGAGAGCAGTTCAGAGTGCACCATGATGTCGAGCCGCCTAGCATGGTAGCCATACTGCAAACTTGACTGATAGAATTTAGTCTGCACCAAACAAAGGACTGGATGCTTGACGCTAGTTACTACTTAGTATCCAATCAAGATTATATTGTCTTCGTATGACTGTCACCTAAAGTTCCTAACCCCTGGCTTAGCAATGGAAATTCCTGCAGGCATGTCTGAAAAATGTTACACTTTCCAGAAAAGTGTGACATAACTTACCCTAATTTCTCCTTCTTCCCTAAGCTTTGAAAATGATTACTTTCTTGGAACACTGTAAAATACATTATTATAAAGCCAACATACGCTACATTTATGAATATGAATTTCAGTGAACCCTCTTGAGACTATAAATTCTAATATTTCTCACAATGTAATATGACGTCATGACTGTAACTTTCTACACCTTTGATTTTGATTGAAAAAAAACTATAAAAGGAAATAATTACAAATGTTACAGCTCATAAAATCTGTCTATGAGTACAACTCAGGTTAAGAAATAACTGATATACATTAATAGTTAAGTGAGCATAACTTTTACACAATAGGACAAAGAATGACAAATAGAAAATATGAAGCAAACTAAGATAAATATAAAGTAAGTGGCTGTGTAAATTCTCAGAGTAACATCCAATCTAATTCGTCTAATTGAACTGTTTAAATTCACATATTGATAGTTAACCTTAACTCAGTGACATTTTGAGTTGTGTAGAGTCAAATTTAGTTTGGCGTGTACCACAAGTTACGTGTCTTGTTGAAAGTTGACAGAGACTTTACAGTTTATGAATATGAGTTTGTCTAACAGAAACAGTCATTTGGTGCATGAGAGAATGCTTATTAATAAGTCAAAACAGATTGCCATATTGTGGTAATCAGTCAGTTTTGATCAGGCAACAAGTTTCTTCATGAACTAACACTTGGAAATAACACAACCGATCGTCACTAGACGTAAGTTACTTAAAATAAGACACATTTTGAAAAGACGAGTGCCAACAAGCACGAAACCTAGGTCCAAGGCTTCCTGCCGATTACCTCCAACCATCTAAATATAACTATTCGGAGTGCACCGTGGTGTCGAGCAATCTAGCATTATGGACACATTGAGAACTTGACTGACAGAATTTAGTCTCCAGCAAACAAATTATCTAATACAGTCCTGCAAGAGGTCGAACGTGAGCCCCGATAGCTCAGAAGTAATGATCCTGGCTACAGCACTCAGTGATTATTATTATTATCGTATCCTTTAATTCCTACAGGAACATAGGGCTTCAGCCGTGCGTCTCCATTGCGTTTGGTTCTCTGCTAGAGTCTTCACCTGGCTCCAAGTCTGCCCACACGTTTTCATCTCCTCTTCACATGACCTCCTCCAAGTCACCCTCGCACTGACGACCAACTCGCCGCTTCCCTTTCGGGTTCCACTCGAGCAATGGCTTGTCTAGTGATGTCACTCGATGGTTTCCTCAGAGTATGGCCAGCCAATCCATCTCCATTTCTTCCTGCCTATTTGTTTCACAATCGGTTCCTGGTTGGTTTGCTCATTGCCAGAGATCTCCCTGTTGCTGATCTTTTCTGGCCGGCCATCTGATCTTGAGTATTGAGCGAAGACAACTGTTAATGAAGGTCTGTAGTTTGTTTGAGATGCTCTTTATGATGCGCTGGCCAAGTCTCTGATCCGTATGTTAAGTAGCACTGACTTCACACTGGAGTTGAAAATCCGGATCTTATTTTTGATGCTGAGTGTTGTTGACCTCCACACAGACTTGAGAGTAGTGAAAGCTTGTCTTGCTTTTCCGATTCTTTCTTTGATATCCTCGTCAGTTCCGTCCGCCTGTAGTTGAAACGATGCTTCCCAGATAGGTAAAAGAGGTTGTTTCTTTCAGGTTCCTCCCATTTATGCTGATTGTTGTCAGTTGTTGTTGTTGCTGTTGGTGGTGTTGCCCAGGAATTTTCATCACCACTGTTTTCGCTATGTTCACCTGAAGGAAGTCCTATCTTTGATGCTTCTTCTGCCAACTTGTTGCTTTTCGCTTGCATATCTTCCAGTTTGTGAGAAATCAGACATTTATCATCGGCGAAGTCCAGATCCTCCAAGTTTTTTGTGTGAGTCCATTTTATGCCTGTTTCCTCATTGCCCACTGTTTGTCACATTATCCAGTCTACTGCAATCAGGAAAATCATTGGTGATAGTAGGCAGCCTTGCACTCAGTGATACAGATTCGAATCTCAAATAGGAAATGAGTTCTTTCAAGCTTGTAGATACATCTTGCTCACCAGTTCATGCCAATAAGCACAGATCCAATCGATTGCCTTCAGCCATCCAAGAACAACTGTTCCCGACCACTTCTTCCTCATTTACTATAATTATAAGTCCAGTGTATTGCCATCCAGTAGTTTACAGCAGAAATAATTAACAGATTCTCAGATATATCAGTAATCACCTAGTGTATTAAGAATAAAATACTATCTACGGTGACAAATTAAGTGGTATTTGCGAAGCTAACTATATGAGTTGTACTCAAAATAATCTTATATTTGAACACTCGTGGAAACAAGGTGATTTGATTTGGAAATGAAATAACTAATTCGATAAACAGTGACGTTTTTTCTCATTTCATGCGTTAAAATAGAAGAAATGCTTGGGGTAGCATTTTAAATTCCAACTAAATTGCCTAAATGCACTGCACATTTGAATCGAAAAATGAACAAGGAGAATTAGCTATGTTAGATTGTAAAGTAAGACGAACAGAAGAAGGTAAACTGCACACTAGGGTCAATAAAAAGCCAACGCATTTTAATAGATATCTAGACTTTAATTCATCTTATCAGTTAACTGTAAAGGCTGGCTTAGTAAAGTATCTAACAAACTGAGCAGTGGCACTAAGTAGTACAACAAGAAACCTAAAAGATGAAATGAAACAGACAGAAGACGCGCTGGTGTTAAATAACTATCCTATAAAATTCATTAGGAAGATCCAAAAAGGTCAGAAGGAAAATAAAAATAATGATGAAACCAATAATGATAACATAAGTAAGAGAGAATATAGGGGATCTACAGTTTTACGATATAGGGAAGGGATATCTGAGACCCTACGTAGGATTCTCAACAAAGCAGGAATTAGGGTGGCATTCAAGCCTATAAACTCACTCAGAGACAAGCTTTGTAGGTTTAAGAACCCAGTGGACCCAATTAAACAAAATAACATTACTTACAAAATACCTGGCAATGACTGCGAGGTTAACTACACAGGTCAAACTAGTAGATCGGGAGTAGTGGGATTATCAGAACATAAGAATTTAGCTAAGGTTAAAATGGTTGACCCCACGAAGATAAGTAATTTAGAAAAAAGCTCAGCAATCGCACTGCATGCACTAACACGCAACCACACAATAGGGTGGGACAGAGTCAAAATTCTAAGAAGTAATATAGATAGGTGAAGAGAGAGATTGATTACTG